GCTACAGGAAGGGGTGGTGACGGCTGGCTGAGGCCTCAGGAGCTACAAGAAGGCATGCAGATGGCTGGGTGATGCCCGGCGACAGTGCAGGAGGAGCTAGTGTGACTCGCAGGCTTACCTGTGAGCAGACACAGCGAAAAGCAGGTAGCAATGGCTGGTCTGGCAGGCAGGCTGCAGGCATGTAACACGTGCGCACAATGTTGCACATGCGTGATAGGGACTGCCTGGGCAGGGAGCAGAGAAGTGGGTGGACATGGGCAGGACCAACCAGAGGCCCTATTTACAGGTTCTCCGAATTACCGGGAATGGTAACAACCAGTTCTATAGTACCGGGCCGAACCGGTAGAATCCCACCCCTGTATGTATCTACTGAGGGCTTCTTCACTTCTTCTAATCCTATACTGAAGCACCAACCAGCCTACAGAGAGTCTGTAGCTTAATTTGATAGTTATAGAGAGTACTATAAACAGGCATTCAACTAAGCTATATCCTGCAAACATGTATTTGTAAAATGTATTGACCTCCATGTGAAGATATGCCTACAAAATATTATCTCTGTCTGAAAATATGATATTTTTTCCAATTCAGGAATAATTAATTAACTTTGAAAAATATCTTTTCCTCTTTTTGATAAATACAATACTTTTCTAGATGAGTATTGGGTTTTTCAGTTCTGACATTTTTTACAAAAATTATTTGAAGAAATCCATAAGTGATTGGAACCAACCTCTATGTTGGTTTGCAATGCAAGATTTGTTTGTGCTTAGCTATTCTTTGGGGAATTGACTCGTATTTCTTGATTAATTATTTTGGTCATTAAAATCTCTAACATTTTAAGCAGTTTAAAAAACCAAATGCATTTGTATTACATGGATAATTATCTTGATTTTACAGGATTCTCAACAACAGATGAATTTATGTATGAAATTCAATTTGAATCTGAAAGAATGAATTCTCATCTGAAATCTGCAATAGCTATAAACTTGGTAAAGAAAGAGCGAGATCTGAAAACTGGAATTGTGACTTTGATCTTTAACATAATATTTACACCCTACAAATCAATGAGGTATATTTATTATAGTATCCACAATTTACTTACTAGAATAGTAAGTAGCATGAGTTTTCCTTTATTTATTTTTTATCTTGGATAAAAAACTAAACAGTTTATTCTAATCCATTAATTCAGTAATTTAGAGTCTGCCACATGCAAAATACTACTATCTTGTAAACTCTGATTTAATAAGCTATGGAAAATTTCATGTAATTCATGTGTTCATGTTAAAAACCAAACATTCTTCTTCATGTACTGAACTATCCCCTGTATTGGTAGCTGTAGGTATCCCAAGCAACATGTGTTGCAGTGTTTTATACAAACTTTTCTCTTTATATGATGCAGGATCCAAATACAAACTATCACAACATGCATCATGAGGTCAGAACGCATGTCATGTTTAGAAACAGACTCCTTTGTCTTTAGTCATGGAATTCACTTGAATCAAAGCTTTGTGTCCTCTAAACTGAAAATAGGATTCTATATTAGGAATTTATTTAAATGTATCTGCTTTTTAAATGACAAATTTTAGCCATTTCAATTCTTGGAATTTCCACTGGATATCATGGGTTTGCTGTGAACATTGATCTCAAAAGAATTTATTGATCTATAATTAGAAGGAGTTACTGTTTATATTTCAGGTTGCATTTGAATTTGTATAGGTGAATTAAAGCCCAGCTTCAGCAAGATTTGACAAAAATGAACTTAGAAAGCTTTGTCTCTCATTCTCCCTTCCATTATTTCTCCAATTGTCATCCAGCTAAACTACCGTATATCTGAAAAACAGTTACACCAGTTCAGTCTCTGGTTGTACAGAATGGGAATAGGAGGGAAGAATTATCTTTTCTGACTATAGTTTCCTTAAGAATGAAATCTCACTTCTGATGGAATGTGGAACTTTTGAAAGAATGTTATATTATTTTTGGAACTTAAAATACATCTCAGTTATTGGATACTATACTGTTGTCATATTATAAATAGTTTTCTCTTTACCAGACTACTATCTAAATGTACTGTGGTTTAAGATGAATTAGATTGCACCAATTAGTTTTGGTTTTTCATTTCATAAAGAAGCACATAAAAATAATACAATGTGTAGCTGTCAGCTGTTCCAAAGTAAGAAAAAATATACTATCCTGCCTAAACATAATATCTACAATCAGTGGTGGGATTCAAATTTTTTAACAACCAGTTCTCTGCCCTAATGACTGGCCTGGTGGGTGTGGCTGGGTGGTCATGTGACTGGGTGGGCATGACCAGCTCAATGTCACGCACATCAAGGGGTGCCTCACCTGGCCCATCATCTCCCAGCAATTCCTTGTCACACCCAGCCTCAATGTATCTATAGTTCTGTAAAAATGTTCACATTTTTTCGACTTTATTATCTACATACTATAAATGTACTTTCATGGACCACTGAAAGAAGAAAATGGTTCATATGCTTTGCCCAAGAGTGTGATAGGCAACAGGCTTTTAAGGGGCTGCCAGAAAGAAGGGAGGGGCAATGTATTTTCCAAAGCACCAGAAGGCAAACAAGAAGCAATGGATGGAAACTGAACAAAGAGAGAAGCAAACTAAGACTAAGGAGAAACTTCCTGACAGAACAATCAGTGGACTGCTTGTTTCCAGAAGTTCTGGATGCTCAATCACTAGAAGCTTTTAAGAGAAGACTGGACAGGCATTTCTCTGAAATGCAATAGGGTTCCCCCCAAGATACCTTCTAAGTGTTATTCTGTTATTCTGACACCTTTCCCAGGCCATCACATCCTCAATTTTCCTGCCTAAGCAGGGAACCCTCATTGGGACCCTATCTCTTTTGCTCCCTCTGGACTAATGAATTAAATAGCTGCCTTTAGACATTCGTTTTAATAAGATTTTTAGAAATCTGCAGTTGAAAGTTCTTCATGTCTCCTTACCCTGATGATCCAATTTCATTTGGAATTTAATCCCAAACTGATTGCCCTTTTTGGCATTTCTCTTGATACTTCTCCAAAATGCATCCCCAAGAAACCACATCCATATCTACCTTCCTTCCTCCCCCCCCCCTCACACACACACACTCAATTTAAGCAAATTCCCTTGTCTTGGAGACTTTAGAAGAAGATACCTTGGAAGTCTTATAATTCAACCTTCTGCTCAAGACAGAAGACCTCATATATACTTGCGGGTTCACAGACATCCCGGCTTTGGCTACAAGAACTGCAGGCACCTTCCTGGCCACATACTACCTCCTCCCGCTGACCTCTGCGAGTCAAGAGGAGGTCCAAGAAAAAGCACCTGGTCTGGGCTCACAGCCCTTCATGACAGAGCCCTTCCTGTGGAGCAAAGCATAGCTTGGATGAACTGATCTGTACCGAAGGTGAGCTCCATAGCAGCAGCGGTGGTAGCAGAAGAAAGAAAGCGCGCTCCAGAGTGGCTGCAGCGGCAGCAAAAGGCAAACTCCAGAGTGGTGGCAGCTGTGGTGAAAGGCAGAAGGCAAGCTCCAGGGCAGTGGCGGAAGGTGATGGAGGAAGGTGAGCTCCAGAGTGGCAGCAGCAGGAGTGCTCCAGGAGGGAGGCAGATGTCCTGGGACTGCACATGCGCCCCACAGTGGAGCAGCATCTCCCCTGAGGGCCACCCACCCACCTGCTAGCTAAGCCAGCCTGGAGGCAGCACATCCAGCACATCATGAGCTGGATGCAGGACCCGAGGCAGAGGGTGGCAGCCACCCGGAGGCCCCACAGAGGCCCCTGTGCCAGAGTCAAAAAGGCAAGCAAGCCTCGCTGTATCCCCCTGAGGTGGCTCTTCAGCTGAGCTCAGCGGGTCTTCCTCCCCCGCCGCCAGCCTTACCTTCTAGATCTTCCACATACCTCTGCTGGCCTGAGCACCATGCCCTTCAGATCCCAACAGAGCCTGCGGCTGCCCATGAAGGTAAGGCTGATGTTGGGTGGCCCTCAGGGGAGACACTACCCATGGCCTGAGACTGCTGCTCTGCTGCAATGCATGCAGACATCTGCCTGCCCTTCAGGAGCACCACCGCCACCAGGCGCTGGCCCCATTGGGATCTCGGGCCAGCGGAGGAGCATGGAAAGTCTGCAGCTCATTGAGGCCTTCAGGACAAATCAGATTGTCCAAGGCTTTGCTCCCCAAGAAGGTGGAGACCTCCCCAGGAAGATGGAGATGGAGGTCATGCAGGGCTGTTCTCGAGGCTTCTCAGGCCTCAAGAAGTAGTAGGAGGTTGAGGGAGAGAAACGGATTGAGGCAGAGAGAAGTGGTAGGCTGAGAGAGAGGAACAGATTGAGGTGGAAAGAAACAGATTGAGACTGAGGGAGAGGAACAGATTAAGGTGGAGACACAGATTGAGGCTTCGAGAAATGGTGGGAGGCTGAGGAAGACAAATGGATTGAGGCAGAGAGAAACAGATTGAGGCCTCAAGAAGTAGCAGGAGGCTGAGGGAGAGGAATGGGTTGAAGTGGAGAGAAATGGATTGAGGCTGAGAGAAGTGGTAGGAGGCTGATGGAGAGGAATGGATTGAGGTGGAGAGAAATGGATTGAGGCTGAGAGAAGTGGGAGATGGAGGGCAAGAGAAACAGGGGGCTTTGGAGATGAACCACCTTCCCAGTGTGGAAAGGGAACTTCATGAGGACAGTGGTGACACCCAAGCAGGAAAAGCCCAAAGGGAACATCAGGCCAGACATAAAACAAACTTGCATAGGAAAAGAGATTTAATAAAAGGTATTGAAAGAAGCCCCCTAGACAAAAGCCAAGTAATTAAGAAAGCTAGGGTAACAAGAAAAAGAAATCCCTTACAAACAACAAATCAGCAAAACAAATAAACAAAAGACACAAAATATATTACAAAGGAGACAGACAGGAGATTGCCACAAAACAAATATAAGAAAACATTAGGACGAAACTGATAATCCAATCAAACCACCCCACGGAGTTTACCCTCCGGTGGAAATGAAGACAACCCCTGACAGGATTTAAAACATTAAGAATTACAAACACAAGCACTCACACACAAAAGGAGAAAAAAGTATAAAAATCAGGGGTTTATTATACAAAGCGAGCTAGCCCCAAGAACGCAGACTTCTTGCTATCTCTCGCCTTCCTGAAAAATAAAAAGAACCAGCTTTCAAGCAGTTGTCTGTATCCTTGCACCAGAGCTCTCCCAGCAGGAAAATGAATCCTCAGAAGAAAGGCATTTTCCAGCCTTTCAACACCAGCCCTACTTCCCCAGGTGGGCACTCAGTCGCACTTACCTCTGCCTCAAGGTTTTTGCTGCTGGAGCGGGTGGGAGCAGGCCAAGGCAGCTGGGCGAGTCTAGGTGAACAAGGAGGAGTGGAGATTGGCAAAGGAAAGCAGAGGCAGAGAGCTGTGCCATGGCCACCACATGGTAGGTCAGGGCGCAAGGTAGGCAAGCTGGCTGGATCACCTGGGAGGCAGCTAGGCCAGGATTCATGGCTTGTTTGCAGGCCCACCCAGGCAGATCAGGGCCACTCAGCTGGACTGTGGGGAGAGAGCTGTGTGGTATGCAGCCACAGCGGCAAAGGCAGGCAAGCTGGCTGGCCTGCAGAGACCGTGTGGTTGAGGCAAGTGAGGGAGCCAGAGAGCAGCAACAGCTATGCCGGGGGAGCGGGCAAGATGAGGAGTGACTGGGCGGGGTGGGGCAGGGTGGGAGGGGCAGCACAGAATTTTAACAACTGGTTCGCCTGAACCAGCTCGAACTGGCTGAATCCCATCACTGTCTACAATCTAATTTAGAAAAATCTGTGTAATGCATTACATGTTAAAGAATATAAGCTTCCATTGCACCTTCATCATTGATTTGAGTTGTGTTTCACTGAACTTTTACTGATAATATTGTATCCTTAATTTTTTTAGGAATCCAGCAACTTTGGTGGTACAGCATAGCACAGGAGGCATTTGGAAATTTCCAATATTGTTTGTTGCTACAGATCCAGAAGTAGATGATGTTATTAATATTGAAACAATTGGTTTAAATAAGGAATCTGTAGTCAGCTTTAAGCTTACAAGCCAAACAAGGTATGAATATTCAAGAAGCCACAAAATTAATCAATACAATTTTCTTCAACTGCTCATATACAAGTAAGTCAGCATATAAGTGAAAAGAATATGGTATCAGAAGAAAATTCTAAAGCAGATTGACAATTACTGTAACTGTGAAGTTACTGAATCTATCCAGAAACCAATCCATGGTAGTTTTTAATTTTTAACTTACTATTAGATTTGTGTTTTGCTTTTCCTTAATGAGGTCAAGCCAGTGTTATGCAATTGAGTGTTATCTTCAAAACAACCACCTGGAAAACCTGGGATTGTGCAATGAGCAAACCCTCCTCCTCCAATTATTGTACAAGAATGGGAGGGGGATTGGGAAATTGCTAATTCTTTCACTTCAGAGGGGAGGAAAAATGCCAAGAACCCAATAGGGGGTGGACCAACAGAGAATGTTTGTCCTACTGTTCCTGATAAAAGAGGACAAAATTGTATTCATGTTATTTACTCTGGAGCAGTAAGCGTCAATGTTCTGACTGACTAACTCAACCAAAGCAAGCATGGTCAAGACGATCCAATCTCTTAATGCAAAACTTTAGTGAGTACTTCATTTCACCATAGATGAGAGAAAATCCAGTTCTAACCATTTCCCATGCAAATCCACATAGTCAAAGTTCAGGTTCTCCCTCCTTATTAGATCAGGTCATATTGTCCATTGGAGTCTCCTAGTATTGTTGTGGGAAAGTCTTTTGGCTGTGGTAAACACCTGTCAAAACATCCTTGGCTTTCATGGCTGGCATCTTGATGTCTGGAACCTAAGTTCTATCTCCCCTTTCGCTCTCCCCATAGTTTGTTGGCAAACTGAGAAACAATAATAGTTGCAACAGCAAAAAGAGCCTTTTGAAGCTTGACAGGCGGACCCCCTTAAAACGTAGGAGATACCTGGAAAACAATAGCTATATTATTAATATTATATTAATATAACTATTAGTACTTTGAATTCCCTCCTGGAGGGGCCCTGACTTCTGAAGGTATTTTGCATGGAATCTGCCTATTAAGCAATCTGCCTAATTATTTTGGGCCTTGATCCATTTTGCCTCAGAAAGTGGGTAACCTTTCCATTGTACCAAGTTGTCAGTGTGTGCTCCCTTCAAAATCCAAGAAAGAAATACCCAGACTCCATGGATCAGAGCAAAGTTATCCTTTTACTGGAAAATGAAGAGGAAGCTACAGATGGAATTCCGAAACTGAGAATTTGGCGCGCAGATCACACATACAAAGAAATGGAATTGTTCCCATCCCCCGAAGTCCAGAAGTCTCTTCCAATTAAAAGTTCTGAATATGATCATGTGGGCATCTTCAGGTGGTGATGAGGCCTCTGTCCGTTGACCTTGACATATTTTGATAAGACAACGCAGCTGCGCAAAAAGGGATAGAGGCTAGCAAGGAAATGGAAAGTTGAAAAGAAGAAATCATACACCCCCTCCTTTTGCTTACCCACAGTAAAGGAATGCAAAACACCTCCAGCTCTCTTCCCCCCCACAATTACCCCTCCCCCCCGTTGCTAATGACAGCCAAAAGAATTAAGCCTAGCAGTAGAGAAGATAAAGTAGGTAGGATATGGGAGAAATAAATGAGATAGATAGCAGTTAGGGTACCCGAAGAGATCTTGAGGCTGACACAAGTATTGCAGTTTCCCTTTGTAGAGCAGGGGTGTCAAACTCACATTGTAATGGCATCATCATGTGATGTATGGTAACTTTTTTCCCTTTTGTTAAATTCTGTCAGTGTTCCAAAGAAACTCCTCATATCCATTCAACACTCAGAGACAAAGTACATCCAAGTAAGAATTTATTAAAGAAATCATGTTGGCATATCTGGGAAAACCCGAATCTGAAACTTGTGGGTTTTCCCTTCCCCAAGTGAAAATCAAAGATCCATCCCTTACACCCATCAGCCCCTCTCCACCCGCTTCTCTGCTCCCTGTCCATTCAGTCCTTATCGTGCATGCATGACATCATGTGCATGCGTGATAAGCTGACTGCATTCTAGCCCCACCCCGCCCCTCCTTATCTTGGCCATGCACCCTCGCTGCCTGCAGTCTGCCTTTGCCCGCCCACCAGCCATCGCAGTCTACCTTCCACCATGATCACCCTAGGTAAGTGAGGCTCTACAAGGCCTGATTGCCTACATGCTACTGCTGCCGCCCTCGCCCTTATTGCCACCACCACCACAGGCCCTGGTTGAGTCCCAACTTCCGGGCTGGTCTAGGCCACCACCACCATGCCGCTGCCATCCTCAGTGCTCATGGCCTAGCTAGCTGCACCCCCAGTCCCTGTCTGGCTTGCTTAGCCGCCAGCACCACCCATGTGGCACTCGCAGCCTAGCAAGGTTCCACTCCACCCCACTTGCCTGGCTTGCTTAGCTGCCAGTGCTGCCCATGCAGCACTCGCGGCCTAGCAAGCTTCCCCCCCAACCGTTCCCAGCCTCCAGCTTACCTCTCAGGGGTGGGAAAGCAACCAGGGAGCACAACGCTATGCCACCTGGGCCCCCATCTCCCCTTTGCCTGCCACCCCCTTCTGCTTTGGCTGAATGCAGGCCGCATTCTGTGAGAATGCAAGTCAAGCCTTGTGAGAGCGGATCTTCCTTGGCAGCCTGCACTCAGCTTAAATGCTCAGCCATGAGGGAGGGGCAGCTGGCAGAGGGGCAATGTGGGCAGATTCGTGCTTCCTAGTTGCCTCCTGCACCCCCCCCAGCAGCTGTGGAGAATCTGAACAGGGGATGAGGTACAGGCTGGTGGGCAGCCAAGTGGTAAGTAAGTTTCCAGGCAGTCAGGATACCAGTGGGGTGAGGGAGGGGAGGAAGTCCCACCCCTGGCCCCTTTATTGGACTTGGAAGCCTTGCCTGCCGGCTTTTCTGGGCAATGCGGGACTGGGTGCGAATGGACGATCACACCCCTCCTTCCTCCCCTCCCTCAAGTGCCCACCCCACTGGTATCCTGACTGCCTGGAAACTTACTTACCACTTGGCTGCCCACCAGCCTGTACCACATCCCCTGTTCAGATTCTCCACAGCTGCTGGGGGGGTGCAGGAGGCAACTAGGAAGCATGAATCTGCCCACATTGCCCCTCTGCCTGGGACTCTAGGAGACTGGCTGGGAAGAACATAAGTTAACAAGTGATGTTGGAAGCGTGTGTGTGTGTGTGTGTGTATTTCTGGTGGGTCTCCTAGCTTTAGAAGGAGAGAGGGAAGGAGGAAGGGAAAGGACAGAGAGAGAAAGAGAGAGAGGGAAAGAGAGAGGGAAGGGGGAGAGAGAGAAAGAGAGGGGGAAAGGGAGGGAAAAGAGAGAGAAAGAGAGAAAGGGAAAGAGATAAAGGGAGGGGGAGAGAGTGAGAAAGAGAGAGAGAGACAGAAAGAAAGAAAAAAAAGAAAGAAAGAAAGAAAGAAAGAAAGAAAGAAAGAAAGAAAGAAAGAAAGAAAGAAAGAAAGAAAGAAAGAAAGGAGGGAGGGAAGAGAAAGTGAATGAGATATATGTATTGATAGATAAATACAAGGAAGGAGGGAGGGAGGGAGAAAAAAAGGAGAGGAAGGAAGGACACAAACCCTGGCTTCAGAAGACTCTTTGAAGCAGCACAGGAATCTAGGGCTGGCCTGGAAGAGATCTTGGAGATCATCTAGTCCAACCCCCTGCTCCAGCAGGAGATCCTTACAGAATGATAGAATAGCAGGGTTAGAAGGGAGGGAGAGAGAGAGAGAGAGAGAGAGAGAGAGAGAGAATGTACGTGTGCATGGCTGACAAAACTCTAAAAACAGGTCGAATAACTCTGGGGAGGTCAGTCATAAATTAGAACACTTACTAAGCAACCAGCCATTAAGTGAGGACCACTTGTATTTGGTTTGGCAGTCACATGGCCACTTGGTCACGCCCACCCAGTCACATGATCACCAAACCACACCCATCTGGTCACATGACCACCAAACCACATCCATCTGGTCATGTGACCAGCAAGCCACGCTCGCCTTGTCATGTGACCACCAAGCCATGCCCACAAATTAAGCCACACCCACAGAACTGGTTGTTACAAAATTTGAATCCCATGTCTGGGTCTAAATTACTATTCAAAAGAATTCCCCCCTCCCAAATTCCCAGGCACTAACTGGCAGCCTCGAAGCTTCTAGTAAATCTTTATGGCTAATAAAATATGGCTTCCATAGCTGACAAACTGGGTATGAGCGTGGCCAGCGCATGATGCATCTGGCCCGTGGGCTGTGAGTTTGACAATCTTGGTCTAGAGTAAGATTCATTTGATACCACCACCCCACTATGATTGGGCCTGGGACATCTTTTTCAACTGGCTTTAAGATAGAGCCCTGGATTGGCTGTAACAAACTGCAATGAAATACTGCACTTTTCCCAATATTTTGGGCAATTTTAGTTCCACTTTGACTGGGTTAATCACTTTCACAATGGGGAAGGGTCCCACGTATTTTGGGGTCCAGTTGATGGGCAGCCTCAGTTTTAAATATTTCATAGATAGATATATTTTGTCTCCTATGTGGAACTCTTCTTGGGGAGTTTGTTTTTTATCAGCTTGCTTTTTCTGACTCTCTGTTGCTTTAGCTAGGGCCTTTTTTACATTTCCCCACAGGTTTTGAAGAGAATCTACCAATTCTGTTAGAGGGAGGCTCTCTTGGGTGCTCTGGCATGGGCACAAACTCCACCCCTGTGGCTATTTTAAATGGGGTGAGTCCTATGTGCTGTGCACAGTGGTGGCAACCTCAGCAAAAGGCAGGAGTTTTGCCCAGTTTAATTGTTGATAGTTGACATAGCAAAGTAATTACTGCTCCACCATTTGTGCTCAGATGAAATGCAGAACTGAGCCTTTTGGAGGATCCTATTAGCTTTATGAATTCCAGCCAGAACTTAGCTGCAAATTGCACCCCTTTATCTGAGATGATGCGCCTCGGCATTCTGCACAATTGATAGATCTGCTGCAGAAACATCTTGGTTAGTCTTTGAGCCGATGGGG